CAAATACGTGACATATGCGAAGCCTCAGTTCATTCGACACACTCACACAGAGACACACTAACACCCACTCACGCACACTCACACCCACTCACACACACTCACGCACATCAAACGCTTTTAATGAAGTAGCAACGCTTTGTTACACATTTCTGCAGCATTTTTTCCCTCCTGCTGTTCATGTGTTGGTTACTGCTTTGGTTTCGACCCCCAAACCATCGCATCCTTGCTCCTTTACAGTTAACTCGCCCATTTACATGTAGTAGTTTTACACTCACAAAATTCACATCTTTTTTTGAACCACTCAAATTAATTTTACTTACAGTTTGTTGTATATTTTCGAACAAATGTTAATGGAAGCGCCAAAAATAATTTTGAAAAAAAAAATTAAAAACAATTAGCCTGAGAAATCCTTACCACAAATTTCTACATGATAATGACATCACCACATTTTCCTAATAATAGAAATTCAAGTTTAAAACGAATTAATTAAATTCCATATGAAAATGCCATGTAAATTTTGTTGTAAAATTGTTCCCAGAATTTTTCAGTTGCCCAGAGCAACTTTCTGGATATTTTTCCGCTCCGTACATACATATATCCGTATGTCTGTATATATACATATATTCGGTTTACTGCTGCTGCTTCTCCTGCTTCTCCCCAATCCCAACCCCAAACTGCTTGGTTTCTTGGCTTAGTTTGCTGTATTTAATTTGGCCAACGCTTGAACTTCAATCAGTAAACATAACGTGCACGCATTCTGTGGTCTACTCGGAGTTACCCTTCCTCCTCCACATTTATCCTGCGCTGCAGGCAGTCAAACAAGGACAGCAGCCACAATCAACTTCAATAACTTAGACACACACACACATACACTCACGCAGGAAGAAAGGATGGTGGGGGAGGGGGAGGGGGAGTGGGAAAAGGAGCGCCTGCCCGCTGGCATGCATGTTTATATTAGTTACGGGCCACAACAACTAACGCGAGTGGAAAACTTTGCCCAGCAACTCGGCCGAAGACTTGATTTAAGTTCACTCAAACACGGTGAAAACTGTTGCCTCTCTCTATCTTTCTCTTTCTCTCTCTCCCTCTCTCCTTCTGATTGACTAACAACTGATTGGGAGGCGTAAAAAGTGACTACCTCATCTCCGTTTCCTGGCCAACACACACTATTACTGGGTGTCCTTGAGCCCGCCACGTAAAATGATTAAAACACACGCACAACGCAGCCAACGAAGCCAAAGATTCGAGCTAAGGGAAACACCTTGGAAAACTCTAGGAGATGGCGATGGAGATGGAGATGTAGATGTGGATGAAAATGGAGATGGAGGGGGAGGTGGAGGTGGAGGTGGAAGTGGAGATGACTGGAAACATCTTCGCAGGCACCACAGCACTTGGCGCTCTAACCGAAATCCATTCAGCAAACTAAACCAAACCAATTTGAAGTGAAAACCTCAATTCAGAACTCACACACACATTCGAGAAGCCCGCCCGAAACTCTGTGAGGAACCCCCTCTCATCTCGTCAGACATTTGATTATAATACGCGCCGGCTCCCAGTCTCTTCAGTCTTTCATCAAGTTTGCCGGCTTTTGTGGTCGGGAAGTAAGTGTTCGCCGTTCGCCGTTCGCCTGGCGAATCCTGAAGTCGGTGGTGCCTTATATGCAAATTGGATTTAACCCGGACAAAGTGGAATAATAAATACAAATCGCAAGCACGATCTATCAGGCAAAAAAAACCCTTTAAGGGCAGCAAGCCACACGAAAAGAAAAATAATCATTAAAGATATGAATTCACTAACGTTAAATCATGGAAAAATAAAAAGAAATTGAAAAAACAAAAACATTAAATGAAAATCAATAAAATTTATAAACTTATAATTTATTCATTTTTGTGGAGGTTTCACTCTTTATTTTTTATGTATTTTATTTAAAGTAAATAAATGAGAAGCCAGTGTTTTTCTCTGTACATATTTGTGCTGCCTGATGTGTGACCTCAAAGTGATGGAAATTTTTCGCGACGCGGTAGTTCGAAATGCGAATGCCTTTGACATTCCGCAAGGCTGTTTTCGCCAAAGAATATCCATTATGGGAGGGCATTGACGAGTCGTGGCTACAAACACAAGTACACACACACACACACACACACATCTCATACCTTTCACACTCATACGGTTTGTTTCTGTATAGAAATTTGATTTTCATAAGCTGACTCACGTGCCACGTCAAATGGCTTATGGGTTCGCTCGATGTTCGCTGTTCGCTAGCCGGTGTGTCGATTTTTGGTTTACCATCCTGGCACGCACGCCTCGCAAATGCCGCGAGATTGAGCTGCCTGTTGGCTGGGTTGGATTCTGTATCCTGGATCCTGAATGCTGAATCCTGAATTCGGAATTCTGAGTTCTGGACCCGGGACTTTGGTTCGGGGTGGCAACGCATGAATTAAGCCAAAGATATGTTTGACAGGCAATATTTCCTGCAAACACACACAAACACACATACACTCTACCGAAAATCCTCCCGCATATACACACACTCACACACACACACACACACAAATACACACATTTAGCAAAGGGCACGTAATGCATTTGCATGGGTCCTGCACAGGAGCTTAAAATTATGCAGCACGCTTTTAGGGGCCAGTCGCCAAAACGGAAATGCTTTTAGTGGCCGAGCAGAAGTGCAAAAAAGGGAGCAGCTGCGTAGGCATACAGTGTGCCACAAAAGTGATGATACAGCAGCTATTTTTTACTATATGTGTGAATTCCTTCATTATTCAACGGATTTAAATAAAACAAAAAATCACTTCAAGTAAAATATGTATTTATGAATAGTATTTAAGAACAAAAATAACGAAATCTCCAATAGTTTCTATACAAAAAACAAAAAACCAAAATTATCCCTCATTTAATTTCCACAAAAGTCATGATACATTAGTATTAACATTGGAAAAATATAAATTAATTTACTATTTTAAGCTTTTTAATACTTCGTCGGATATCCCTTCATTTTAATTACTTCCTGAAGACGTCGAGGCATTGAAGAAACTAAAGTTTTTATATAGGCGTGGTCAATTTTCGCCCACTCCTCCAGCAAGGCTACCTTGAGATCAGACCTACTCGTTACTGTTCGACCCCTCAAATGCTCCTCTAGTTTATTCCACAAATGCTCAATGGGATTCAAATCCGGACTTTGTGGAGGCGGCTTTAGCAAATGTGGAACATTATATATAAGCCATAAACGTGTATTTATGGCCGTGTGCTTTGGGTCATTATCTTGGTAAAAGTGAAAAGATGACCCAATACCAAGATGATTAGCACTTTGTTTTAAATTTCTTTTCAGGATTTCAATATACTTTTTATGATCCATTATACCGTCAATTATTTCTAGGTTCCCGACACCAGCAAAGCCCATGCAGCCCCATACCATGAGTCCTCCGCCATTGTGCTTCACAGTTTTAATTGTGTTTTTGGGTCTATAGGCATCTCCAGGTTTTTGCCAAACTTTATAACGCCCGTCTGACCGAAAAATGTTATATTTAGACTCGTCTGAAAATATAACCTGCTGCCAGAACTCTTCAGAATGATTTCTGTAAGCTTTAGCGAACTCAAGACGCTTAAGTCGATTTTTTTTTGAGACATGAGGCTTTTTCCTTGGTGTACATGAGAGGAATCCAAACTCTTTAATGGTTCTTCTAATGGTTTCTGGGTGAACATCCTTCTTAAGCGTTGTAGCAATAGCTGAACTTATTTTAACAGCGCTCTGGAAAGGATCCTTGTCGATAATATGCTTAATTAGGCGTTTGTCTCTAACGGTTAGTTTTGGTGGACGGCCATTTCTGCTGTTGTTTTCAATGCGGCCTTCATTTTTGAACCGCCCAATGACATGTTGAATTGTTGAGCGGGGTCTGGAAACTATTTTTGAAATTTCTGAATAGGACTTTTGTCCTTTAACGTGTAAATTCAAAATAATTCTTCGCTCTTCCAAAGTAAGCTCCTTTCAAGGCATTTTCACAACTTAAACTACGCTATGACTTTAAATGAATTTCACCACAAGTAAAAGAATTATATGCAAAGCATAAATGAAAAAGTCCCGTTACAAAATCTTAAACAGATCAGCTGCAATTAATCGAACTGTATTAACACTAATGTGTGTATCATGACTTTTGTGGAAATTAAATGAGGGATAATTTTGGTTTTTTGTTTTTTGTATAGAAACTATTGGAGATTTCGTTATTTTTGTTCTTAAATACTATTCATAAATACATATTTTACTTGAAGTGATTTTTTGTTTTATTTAAATCCGTTGAATAATGAAGGAATTCGCACATATAGTAAAAAATAGCTGCTGTATCATCACTTTTGTGGCACACTGTAGGTTCTGAAAATAAAACTCAAACAACCTCCCTTCGAGTCGCAATCGAAAAAAAAGTACAAAAAGATGGAACTCCATTCATGTCGATTGTACTTTCAGTTGGTTTTAATTTATAACGATCTAGTTGAATGTTAGTAATTAAATAAAACCATACTTTGTATTCTCCATATTGGGAACATGCGATAACTTTTGTGTATACATTTATTGCAAAGAAACACAAACAGAGATCGTCCCAGCAACATTCATCTCAGTAAACTTTAACCCAGAGAGAAGCAAATATGTGGTATTGGAGGAACAAGGACGGCAAGATGTGGTATCACCTACTTATCATCTATCTTACTCTTTCTTTACTCGATGCCATCATAAACTATTGTACTCAGTGGCAAAATAGAAAAAGGGTGGCAGCACAACAAACTCTTCAGTCGCCACCAGAATATCGTTAAGATCAAAACATAAATATATTTTGCTTTAGAAATTTAAAATAAAATCAGAACTTAAGCTCTTCAGCTTAAAAAAGGTTTTAAAGAGATTTCAAAGTGACGAACCAATTTGGCTCGCAACCGATTGCTGACTTCTGCGGCAATCATATTGCAGCCCTGGTTCGATAGTTCACTTCGGTTCATTGCACGGTTGCATTTAATGACTTAACAATTATTTGTGGAGCTTGAGCGACATCTTCTTTCTACTTGGTTCCTCACCTTTTAACGCCAACCGATTTCATTAATTTCTCGCTGAGATAATCTCTTTTTCCCAAAATGGAAGCGGAAAATGCTGCAACGGCTTCCTGCCACCGAGAGGTATCATCTTCGAGGAGATTAAATAGTAAAGGTTTGACAAAATCCCCGAATTCCCCAAACAGTGCAACGTGACCGGTGCAAAGAATACCAGTAAGGAAGATGACTACTTGCGCAAGATTTTCATTGGGGGACTATCTTTTCAAACGACAGCGGATACTTTGCGCAACTTTTTCCAGCAATTTGGAACGGTAGCCGATGCTGTGGTTGTTCGCAATCCGGTGACCAATTATTCCAGGGGATTTGGATTTGTGACCTTTGTGGAGCCAGGATCAGTTGAAAATGTCCAAAGGGCAAGGCCACACACCGTTAATAACAAGTAAGAATCGAATAGTAGAACACCATTATGAAATTTGTTTGAAAAAAAGCACTGGTTCTGTCAAATTTGAATAACTCAATGAAATCCTTAATTAGTTAGAAATATAGATAAAAGATGGTATCCTTATCTTTTTACCCCATCAAGAGCCGTGGAGACCAAGCGAGCTTTAACGCGTCGCGAATTGCTGATGCCGGGAACTCGAATGCCTGGCACAAGGATCCCCGGAACCGGAGGAGTCGTTTCGAACAAGATCTTCTTGGGCGGTCTAAGGGAATGCCACGATGAGAAGAGCCTTCGCGAGTACTTTTCGCGATTCGGCGGAGTCACCTCCGTACAACTGCTAAAGGACAAGCTCACAGGTCGCAAAAGGGGATACGGATTCTTGGAGTTCGACGATATCATATGTGCCGAAAGGGCATTGGGTGCGTTTCTTTCTTTCGTTATGATAATACAAAGTACCCATTGTATTGTATATTTATGGCAGCACGAGCCAAGCACGTGATCAACTTGATCCCGGTGGAGGTGAAGAGGGCAAACCCAAAGCCGGATACCGGCAAGCTCCTTCCGTTTCCCAACAGCGGATCGGTTTGCGCTGGCTACATTCCACCTCAGCCGGCTTCGATGGACAGCTTCATCAACGGCATCGCCGACTACCAGCAATACCTGGCACACACACTCCTTCCACCCTCGGCTTTTGTCAAGGGCTGGGCCTGCTACGTCACGGATGTAGTGCGTCCGGAGAGCCAGGAGAACCACCAGAACAACACTCGCTCTGGCACTTACAATCCATACACTTACTACCAGCAGCCACACCAGCAGCAGCCGAATGTGAATGGCAACTCCGCATACGGAAATGGAAATGGATATGGGAACCTAAATGGAGTGGATGCCTGGTCCGCCTATCCGAAGCCAGAGAAGTGCGTGGCCCGAGGATGGAAGCCGAGCAATGTGCCCGAGTGGCCGCCGAAGCCCGGGCACAAACACGCCCAAACTTGGACCGGCGATGGTCCCTACTTCTATTGCAAGTGCCTCCAGGGCGAAATGGGAACCAAGGGCGATGCAAACGGAGTTGGAGGATCGATGGTGGGATTGGGCTTTGGATCAGGGATGACCGCCAAGTGGTCCACCGAGGACAGCCAGATCCTAAAGCCCCCTCAGAGTCCAACGCAGTTCGCGAATCCGAAGGCTGGAAACGGAATTTCATCGCCAGCTTATGGTAAGTTGTGCTACTATATAGAATATAAATCGATATAGGAACTAAAGATTTTCCCCTTTTCTTTTCCAGGCATCTAAAATGATGAAAACTCGATCGACATTTCCCCGTAGAACGTAACCAATTGTATTCCTTTTTTTTGACGACATGCGATTAAATGCGATCCCTTCGGAGGAAAAACAATAAAGCACACTGAAATTGATGACACTTCAAATCGTCAACTCCTTTTCCTTGCCTCAACTATTTGTACTGTTTTTGTCTTGGTTTTCACGAAAGTTATGAAGTAAGAGTGAATTGATTTGAGAAATGTTTCATATCCAAAACGGCATAAAACGCAAACTACTTTCCACAATGACACACATGCATCATAGGTTAGTAATGCATTTGCAAAGATCCTGCAGGGGAGCTTAAAATTATGCAGCACACTTTTGGAAGCCAGAAATGCTTTTAGTGAACTGGCAGAAAGGGATCAAGTGCGTAGATGCGGCAGCAGTCGTAGGCTCGGCAAATAAAACTGAAAACACAACATGCATTTGAATCGCACTCGGAGGGAATAGGAGAAAAATAAGCTCGGATCCCGCAAAGATGGCAAGAGCATGCGGATGCAACTCGGTTGGGGATTCAATTGTCCGAGTGCCGGACTTGCCGCTCACTTAAAAACAGAAGCCCCGCCGCCTTCGGGGGCCATTCGGAAAGGTAAATGGACTAATCTGTATTTTCCCCAATGCAGGTGACAGTTTTCCCTGAACGGCGGCGAGTGTGCATTCGCATATGCGATGCATTTCAATATGATGATTCGCCCAGTTTGGGTTTCCTCCTCCCGCCTGCGGGTTGGCAATTTAATTAAGTCGCCAAAAATAGCACCGCGAGCAGTGAAAATATGATAGATGATGATGATGGTGATGATGGTGATGAGTGCAATTCCAATTAAAAAACTGCATCGTTCAGCTCGGTTCAGGTCGTTTCAGTTCAGTTTGGCTGGCCGAAAATGTTCTATTTTCGCCGGCTTGCATGCACAAATACAAAAATTTTTCACATTCACCGCACACACGGCCATCGAGTTGGGTTTTAATTTTCTTTTGCTCGCCAACGTGTTTTAAAGGATATTTTAATCCCAGGCAAAAACAACGCCAGGCAGGCAGCTCAATTAACTGACATTAAGTGAGTGGTTTGGGGTAAAATCTTTTTTGCCATTGAAATCGAATACGCGGCCCACAAAACACTTGGGAAAAAGGGAGCTCTCCTTGGATTTGAGAAGAAGACTTTTGCAGAAATACCTTTTAATTATTGTAACAACTAAATTAGAAAACTGCCACATTCGAAATATTCTTTTGAGACATAAAAAACTATTCTATTGGGTGATTTTCATGTAGGCATTTATTTTAAATACTCAGATAAGCTCAAGCCTTTGGGTTACTTTGTAAGTTTACCAAAGCGATGCATAATATTTATGGTATGAAAAACGATATCAGTCTAAAACCAATGTTTTTAAAATATCTGTAATCATTTGGCTTACAAACCCACACTCTTGCAGCCCAACTAAATGTCCTAATTATTTTCCCCCGTGTAGCTCCACCCACTATCGCACCACCACACACAAAATCGCACCACCGCAAGGAAACCCCGAGAAAGTGACAGCACAAGTGACATTTCAATGATTTCGCTGTCAGTCAGTCAGCCAGTCTGTCTTTCTGTCCCTCTGTCCCTCCGTCTGTCATTCAGGCACTCAGTGTCTGAAGAATCCGGCGGCGGGGGGGCGTGGCACTCAAGTGGGCGTGGCGCAGAATGGGAGGCAGAAAAGTCAGATGGTTGCGAGGGGGGTGAGACAAATGGCTGTCACGCAATGGCGGCTCAAAACAACAACTAAACTCGAATCGAATCGAATGGAAGGGCATCGAATTGAAGGGAAGGGAAGGGGAGGGCATCGAATTGAAGGGAAGGGAAGGGGAGGGCATCGAATTTAAGGGAAGGGAAGGGAAGGGAAAGGGAATGGAATGCTGGATGGGAAAAGTGCTAACCACAGCAGAACTGGGGGGCAACAAAACCATCAAACGGCTGTCGAAATGGCAAACGTTGTTTTTATCAGTTTCGCAAAAAGCGCCGGCAGAAGCGAAGTAAAAATAAAATAAAAATAGAACTAGTACTGGATTTTCTTTTTAAGAGGGGGGAGAGAAAAAGAGAAAACTGCTCCCGGAAAAGCGTAAACTGAAATCGAAACAAGAAAGGAGCAGGAGCAGCTTTCGGCTTTGGCAATTAGTGTTAATTCACGGGGTCTACTATACATTAAATATTCGATTCGCCATTATTTAGCGGGGAATATTTACCGCAGAGGGAGAAGGGGAAAATATTCCCGCGAATGCTAATTAGTCGCCGAGTGGCTTTGATCCCCTGTAAGCGGCTTGTATCACATGTGAGCGCCTGTATCACTCTCGCCGTATGGAAAATGTATTAAAAACTAATTAGAAAACAGAGAATGGGTTGCAATTGAAGGGGGAAATGGGTGAAAGCGGGGAAAAGCGGGGTGTCTCATTACGGCTAACAGCTAACAGCCAACAGCCAGGTGAAAGTTTCAGTTCAATAATTATGGAACGAAAGCTAAAGTTGCCAACACAAGTTTGTCCTTCGTTCCGCGGCACCTTTTTCCACATTGGTTTTCAATCAATGCGGAGATTGATGGCCACAAATTCTAATTAAAGCTCATTATGGAAAACCTTGGCTGTCACCAGAGAAGTATTTTGTTTCGCTTTTCAACTTTAATAATTCCCTTCGATGCTTAAATTGTTTCGATTCGAAGTAAATGATGTATGCATGGCTGCAAGTGTATAAACTCTGCCTGATTGATTTCAGTGTGTATGGTTGGGCTTTGTTCTACAAATGTTTTGAAGCTTTTAATTATTGCAAGCATTTACAAGGCCGCAGTATTCCGCACACAACTTTCAACTTAATGCTATCAAACTTTAATGCATTTTTTTCCTCTGGAAATAATGAATTAAACAACACAACTTTTGATTATTACCAGCAAATTTAAAGGCTACATACTAGAAGTATTTTTAAAACGTTATAAAAACTTTATCTGTTTATCAGTTTATTTGTTTTAAGAGATTATATAAAGCAAGGCAGCCATTAAATTTCCCGTTTCTAATCTAGCAAATTAATCTTGGGAGTTGATTACACTTGTATTTATTTTCCCCACTTCAGCTGTTTCGAATTACTTATAAGGCAACTCGAGCGAATATGTCTGTCATGAAAAGTTTGACCTCTGCTTTTTGCAGGGAGTCTCCTTCTACTTCAGTTTTTCCCGGTCTCCATTTCAATCATCTTTAGTTCACGCCTTCTGATTTGTCTAATGCAGGACACACACACACACACAAGCACACACACACCTACTTATACTTGTACACTGCTTGAGGAGAAGTCGACTATTAGTCGACGGGCAAGGACACATCACACATACGCCCCGTTTGCCAGAGCACGCTAACTGGATCCGAGTTTGTCTTTCGAGTTGTGCACTTTCATTTAATAGACACTCGGCACTTCCACTTCCCCTCTTCCCCCTCCCCTTTCCCCCCTCCCCTTTCCGCCCTCCCCTTTCCTTTCCATTTCCATTTGCTTTCTCTATCTGGCCATATTTTAACTTAATTAACTTGCAACTATTTAAGTGAACAACACAAGTGGCTCGTTTTCGTGTCGCATCTCGCTTGCCCAAGGATTTTTTCTCATTTCGCCTGTGTGTGAGAAATCTGGTGCTTCAGGTCGCCTTCTTGGCACACTCAATGACTACAAATTGTGGTCATCAGAGCAGGAGAGAGCGAAGGAGGAGGAGAAAGCGGAGAAAGCAGAGAAAGGTGCTGGGAGGAGAAGGGAGAGAAAGAGGAGGAACCACCCGAATTAAAGGTAGAAATAGGAAATAGGAGATTTCGTTTGTCACGTTCCGATGGGGAGAAAGCGGAGAAAGTTGGCTTTCTTTGGGGGGGGGAGGAGAAGCAGAGAAGGCCATCAGTACAGTGAAGCCAAGGCACGTATGGTAGCGGTAAAGGTAACCCCTCCCCCTCCTCTATCCACCACCCACTTTTCCGCAAGTTTTCCGCCCGCCAGCTCGTCTTGCCTTTTTCGCCCGACTTGACTTGACTCCGGCGATTGCCACTGCGATTTGTATAAAATTACAATTTCATTTGAAGCCAGAGCCCGTGAATTGAGGTCGATAGAAGGCCTCTATCTCTGACTGCTTCTTGCTTTCTCCCCAACTTTCCCTCCACTTTCCCCACGCCTTCACTCGCAGTGGCTTCTGCTTTTATAGTATTTATGCCTGGCGACGGAGGAGCACATTCGCTAAACTGTCTTGTTAAATAAAGATAGGTAAGTAAATGTCTGAAGGAGCCTCCTCACTTTAAAGTTATTCAAGATGATCTTTGTGAAATTTTATTACCTATTCAGGAATTTATAGTTTTTAAAACAATACCCAAGTATTATTATAAAAGCCAGTTCAAAATCCTTTGGAGTAAATTGAATTTTCCATTTGTTTGATATGTTTAAATACAAATAAATGTGTATGATTACTTTTAAATTATTATACCTAGACATTAATGTTCTTTTTCAAATGTTCTTTGGAATGGCAGCAAAGTATCTGCTATTCGTTCATTGAAAATGCTAAGTGAACAGTTTTCCATTTCCTTAAGCGCTGATTTTTCCCCACTCGTGAATTCAGCTGCAGCTGCAACTCAACTCGAGTTGGATGCGGAGCTCATTATGCGACTAGCACCCGTTGCGACCTCTCCCTTCCCTCAAACTCCCCCTCAAGCACCACCCACTTTCCGCCACCCCCTCCTCCCCTCCTTACCATTCCATTGTCAATTGCAATTCTCTTAATTAGTTTCTGATGCTAGTGCGTTTCTCAGTGGAAGAAGGAGTCCCTGAATCCTGAATCCTGGTCCCCTGGCTGTCCTTTGCCTGTTTTTGGCATTTTCGTTCGACTTTCGGACAGTCGCTGATGTAATTTTCTGCTTGTTACATTTCATTCGGTTTTTTCTTTCCCTTTCCTTTCCTCTTCCTTCCCCTTCCCCTTCCCCTTCCCATTCCCCTTCCCTTCCTTCATTTTATTTTATTTTATTTTAGCATTTTCTGGGGACGGCAGAAGATGGAGTTTGCTTTGGTTGCTAGGAATTTATTCAAATTGGAATTTAATTGAAATGTTTGTCATTTGGAAGCTTTCCCACACACCCACAGGATCACATGCACACACACACACACACACACACATAAAATATCTATAGACATGTACAGCGTTTGCTTTTGACTTTTTCCAATTCGCTGCGGTTCGCAATTTTCCCGTTTTCCATTGTTCTCGACTGTATGTTTATTTATTCTGTGGCTTACTTTTCCCTCAGCTCGCAGAGCGAGTAATTTTGGAATTTCGAGAATTTCCACTTGGAAATTTCTTGGTGAAATGAAAAGATCTCTCTTTTTTCCAGGGAAACTATCTTGAAAACTGGGAAGGTGATTCCCTTGTTTCAATTTGTTTTGTCACATTTTGTTTACATTCTTTTGAAGTTAATTTAAATGTTTTTCTTACTAATTTCTTAAATAGTTCGTGTTTGGAATTTTATCTATTTTAATTTTTGGATACCACATATTTTCGCTTATATATTTTAATTGCTTTGCAGTGCACATATTTTCCCTTTTTTATAAGCTTCAGCAATTAATTGCAATGTTTAATGTAAGATAAGATAAATGTTTTAATCCAACGTGAAGTAACATTTTGTGCTGCAATTTTCCGTCCTATTTCTGTCATAGGAGCGATGGGGAAAAAGCAATTTAATCGCTTCATCGACAAGGGATTTTAAAACTTTTGACTTTGTAATTTATTTATTTATTTTTATTTGTTTTTTTTTTTTTTTGGTTTGTATTTGTTTTGTGCTTTGGGCCCCCTGGTTGTCTCATATCCGCTCAGGACATGTGTTTCATTTTGTAAGTAGGAAGTGCGAAAATCGCCTGGTTAACAATGATTCGCAGTCGGGAAAAGCGGAAAAGCGGGGGGGTGGGTGGAAAAGCTGAAGGGAGGGCGAGCGAGAGGGGGGGAAAAAACGGATAGAGTGGTCGAGCGAATGTGAATCACAATATGCTATAACAGATGCAAAAAGGGGGAATAAATATTTTGCCAGCAATCACAACGACTAAAACAACAGCAACAACAACGAACAACGAAAACCAACAAACAACAACAACAGCAATAATAACAATAATAACAAGAACAATAGGCGAGTGTTCGACGCAGTTTTCTAGCCTAAGGATAGATAGCTTTTCCCTTGCTCTTTTCCCCTTTTTTTTGGCCTGTAAACCAATTTGCCAAAAACCGAGCAACAACAGCTATGCAAAATGTTATAAACTGGCCAAAACGGGCAAGAGGAATGCAACAGCATACACACAAATACACACACAAATACACACACAGATACACACACACATGCACGAGCCAACACAAACGGCAACAAAAATTGGCATTTGCAAAATTTTTTGCCCACAAAAAGCAAAAACAAAACACACTCCCACTCCCACACACACACACACACACACACACTATCAAAAGAAGAACAATAAGTGAAGGGGTTGGAGGAATTTTCATAGCGAACACGGCGGCTAACGAAATTGAGCTGCCGCAATGCCCGCAGAAAAATGGAGTGGCACCATCCCCGCTGGCGATTTTGCAAGCCCCCTTCTACCTTCCATTTTAGCACCCGCCCATGGCCTTTGGCCAACGGCCATGCACCACCCACTGAACCACCTAGTGAACCAGCCACTTCACCCACCCACCGTCAAGCTTCTGCAACATAAACCAAAAATGCAGTCAATACAAATATAAATAACTGGCAGGGCCAAACAATCAAAAGCATTTTACCCCAGCTCCTCTTTCAAGAGCCACGCCCACCCACAGCCGCCCACTTGAAACACACACACATACACTTATAGGCGCACACATCGCGTGTCCATGTGTGTGAGTGTGTTTGTATAATATATGGAAACGAATTTTCGGCGTGATTGCATCGCGAATACACGGCGTATACGTAATGCATTTGTAAAATGCATCATGCACCTTGCAATTTGCAACGGAGAAGGAAGAAAGAACGGAAGGGGCAGGTGGTGGGGGTCCTTTTCAGCTTTTGGCCAGCCTTAATGAACCCAACGGACAGGTGGCATGCAAAAGGGTCAAGCCGAAAAGCCGCGTTAATGGAAATTTTGTGGTAGCCAAATTGGATTTGTAGGGAGAAAACGAATCGCGACTTGTTGAAAATGCAGACAGCAGACTGCAGAAAACATAAAGCGGACTGCAGATGGTTATTGCCTGATTTATGGGTCATGCGAGCGGTTATCCTTTCGATTCGGGAAGGAATGAACAGCGGAACAACTGAACAACTGAACAACCGACTACTGTTCATAAAAATGTTTGCTCATTTCATCTGCAAATGTTTGGGAAATCCCATCAAATCAGGGCAGTCAGGCACGTTTCCACGGGCCATTAGCCATTAGCCATCTCCGTTTTGGCCCTTCGAAAAATGAGAAGAGGAAAAAAATGGCCAATTTTTGGGAAAAACCCAGAGACTTACTGCGAAACCCGTTGAAACACGTTCGGCTGTTTGTTTAAATTTGCAGCGTAAACCGGGCCAAGAGCCGCGATCATTTGACCATTTCCCTTTGTTTACTTTATGCCTTCTCCACGTGCCCGTGCCCAACCGCTTTGGCAACAATGAAAAACTGGTAATAATATTGTGGTAATATCATTTCGCAATTTAGTTTTGCCCACAGACACGAATCCTCGAACAACAATAGAAGCTAACCGAAAAACTAATTTCACATATATGTGCAATAAAAGTGCGCTGTGTGTTTGTGTATGTGTGTTTGTGTATATGTGTGTGTGTGAATTTCGGTCAGCAGTGGAAAATTGCAAATTAAATTATTGCACACAGAGCGAAAGGCAAAGACAGCCTCCTCTTTCTCTTTCTGCCTTCTGCCTTCTCCTTCTCCATTTCCATTTCCATTTCCATTTCCATTGCATTGCCACCAATCCGAAAACCCAACTATACTCTTCTCCACAGCGGTTGGCTCAGCATAAAAATATGAGAATAAATATTAGTACAGGGATCTTACAATTTTCCACAGCATTAAATTTCACTTAGCATACAGAAGGTATAAGTACAGAGCACAAAAAAAAAAAAAATAAGAAAAAGGAAAAAGAAAATTGTAGCAGACGAAGGCGAGAGCAAATGGCGACCGGAAAAATAGTTTTCCCCATCGCGAAGTGCAGCTCGTTAAGCGTCTGAATCTCGACTAGCCCCTGACAGACTCGCTAGATAGTGGCAAAGTATCAAGGATCTGGGAGGACTGTGAGGGCAAGGGGGATGGGAGGCAATCGGACGGGAAGTTCATGAATCCCAGCGAGCCCCAGAAATAGAACAGAACATTTACCTTAGCCAAACTTGCTGCTAATGTACGAAAAAGTTGAACAGGAAATGATTGAAAATATTTCACTATGAAAAAATAAACGCCTAAAATATTCGCTTTTTCAAATCTATAGGCTCTGAATATCCTTCCGAATCAGACAAAACTAACAAAACTGACTTTGATTTCTTTACGAAATTCCTTACTATACTTATTCCTTTAATTTGAAGACATTATCATAATTCCAAGAGTTCAAAAGAATAAACCAACAAGTTTCTTGTGAATTGACTTGTAAGGTTCTCTATAACAAATTCTTAAAAGTATTCGAGCTTACCAGAAGTCTAAACGATCACTTGATATGCTGGTATACATTAAGTTAATTTTACCTTCTGGAAATATTTCTTAACATTATCTCAAATGCAAGCACCCTGTTTTGAACGCAAACTAATTTCCCAGAGCAGCGGGAAAATACTCGAAAGCGAGTGAGTTGGCAAACTGAGGGTATCGCACCTTCGATCTGGCCACTCACACCTCGCTGCACCTCGCCCACTTCTTGGCCAACTAAAACTAAAATAAGTGGCTTAGCTGGAGCATCGCTGAAGTGCACGACAGTTTTGTGGGGCTCTGAGTGCTCCAACTATTCTGGCTGCTCTGCCTGTTCCACCGCCACCACTACGAAAGTTTCGAGGCCAAATTTACCTTTTGTGTTAATTCCAGCTGCAGTTTTCCTGGGGGCCTGTGAAAGCGAATGTGGATACAATCCGCCCTCCGAGCTCCTCGCTCTCCTTTCGCCTGCAAATGGAGAAGGCGGGGGTTAGCAGAAATCAAATATTTGCCATATTAGTTTTTCCACTTGAAAAGTAACAAAAAAAAAAAAAACAGGAAAAAGAGAAGGAGGAAGGGAAAGTTAAATGCAAAAAAGCGAGGCACTTTGAGTGGCACTCAAAAAAGATGAAGACGATGAGGGGGGAGGGGGGAGGGGAAAGAGGGAAACTCATTAGGGAAGCGCGCACATTAAAGGCATTGCAAATGATATTTACATATTTTATTTCGCAGCGTTTTATTTGCGCAGCAGTCAAAATAGAAACTGAGTCAGACGGGCGCCTTTCATTAACTTTTCGGCTATTTGTGTGTCATCTGATGAACCGACGACCAGGGATATAATTATTATTCTTTTGCCTCGCCTCCCAAAAAAAAAAAAAAAAAAAAAAACGCCGACGCAAAAAGCGTAAACAAATTTTTGGCGCTGTCGAAACTCCCCGGGGATGAATTCATTTCAAGACGTTTGCTTTATCATTCATTTTTTTTTTTTGTCAGGTGTTTTTTATTTTGTTGTCCCTCCAACACACACACATTTACGCACGTTGTATATATATATATTATATATATATAGTACACAAGTTTAGACTTGTGTACAACGAAAATATTTGTATCTCTTGTTGTTTTCTGGTGGCTTTGTTATTCGGCTTGTTGCAGCTGAAAGATAACACAGACTTATCGGTGGAAAGGGGCAGGGAATGGGGAGTGGGGAATGGGATGTCCTTGCCACGAGACCGCCACCTGGGAGCGCAGGACAATACAGATCGTATCGCAAAAAGGGAACAGCAAACGGCGGCAGGGGGGTGAGGTGAAAGTTCATTGGGTGACGATGACAGCAAATTGCATTAAATGAACTAGAAGAATGCCTCCAGGCGAGACTGATTGGAGACCCACCGAGCTATTCAAATGTAAAACAGTAAGTGAGCGGCGTGGGAGTGGGAGCCTCCTACTGGCAGCAGGACTCCTGGGAAAAAGGACCAAAAGCCAGCAGGGATGAAAGGAGCTCGGCGAAAAAGGAAGCCGTCTTCTAGGAAAATGGGGGAAATGCCCATGGAGGTGGCCAGCCAGTGGGAATCACTTACTCAACAAATAATTACAATTAAAGGAAAAAATTTAAAAGGTTGAAGTACTGTCCTTTGAAACCAAAAGTGACAAAACCAAAATTATTGACTAAGTATTAAACACTTTAAATTATGTATTTAATTAATTCACCTACACAATGTGTGCTCTAAAAATATTGATTTTATTTTCCTAGTTATTTCTAATTTCTACAAATAAGTCTTGCCTAATTTTCTCATATTTACAAATATCTTTTTGTTTCTTCTTTCGTACCTGTTTCTTTTGAAAAGAAACTTTCTGTTAGAGTTTACAAAAACTGTAAGCCCCTTCAAATAAATCCCAGGAAGAAGCTTTAGCAAATCTTTGTTGCCCACTAGAAAACTACCAGCGAGGATAAACAAATCGAAACACAAATGGAGCCGCTTAAGGGGGGCTTCTCATGTAACATGCCAAAAAGTAGTGGTATTTTGGGAATTTTTTTCACTTGGAAAATGAAAACTTACACGAATAATTTTTTGCACATATTTGAAGACATGTTTAAAGTATAAGAAAAACATTTTTTGAAAATTCTAAAAAACAAAATGGCGGACTTATTCAAGGTCGCGTGTGGCTCGACGCGGCTGAGGGACTTATTGCGGTACAGTGTGGAGCAAAAAGTTTTCATCTGAAAAAAACAAAAAAATTTTTTTGTATGCAGCAAGGTTCAACCGAGTGCGTGAATGTCAGCCACTTCAAAAGATTCGATTTTAAAATATTGAAATCACGTCTTGAAAAAAAAGTGCCATTTTTTCGTCTTTTTTTTTGCTGAATTGGGCTGAAAAGTGTATAAAATAACTTTTTTTTCACAATTTCAGATATTCACGCACTAGTTCAATGTATAATCTGCAAAACACTTTTTAGAAATCAAAAATCGGTTCAGTAGTTTTTCCGTAATCGTGTACCGCGTTTTTTAAAACATAGTTTTGAGAAAAAACGATTTAAAGTTTTGAGTTAGTGTGGGTCTTGAACTTGAGCGCGCTTGTTCAATCACTGATATTTTCCATAATATTGAGAGTTGAGTCATAAAACTTCGGGAATATACTCTCAAGACGTTATTCTATCGATTTATGAAAAAAAAAAAAAATTAGATTTATTTAAAATTTTACATGAGAAGCCCCCCTTAAATGAGCTGGCTGCTCACTGCGGACTGCTGACTGCTGCTCCTGCTGCTGCTGGAAAGGATTCCGGTTCGAGGGCTTTCGTTTCATAAGCTCGCAGGTCGAGCAGATAACCACAATGTTTCCCTGGCAACTAAGCAAGTGCTTGGCCAAGATAATTCCCCTTCCACGCCTCAATCCGTTTTTGCCACAACCGCCCAGCACCACCCACCACCCACTACCCACCAAGCAACCACCACCACCCACACTGTTCTGGCCAAGGACCTGCGTTGGACATTAACCGCAGCATTTTCGTCCTGTCAGCAAAACTGGGAACAAACATCGTTTATACTTCTGCATTGGTCACATGTTCATATGTGCCAACAGCAATCCTGAATCCTGAATCCCGAAGCCTGAATCCCTGCCCGCAAATTGTCACTGCTGCTGGCTAATCAATTGTCCTGACTCCCATTTTCCCATTTTCCCGTTTCACGATTCGGCTTTTCCGAACTGCAAAAGGATCCTTCCCACTGCTTCCCAGCTGGCATTTTTGGTGAGCTCAGCCTGCGGTTTTCGCTCCGTATTTGATTTAGAAATTTGCAGGTAATGAAGCTGTTTAATGTCGAGAAGCAAGAGCAAGGCGGCAGTTCTGCGGCTAGCCACTCAACTAACTTGGCCCTTTTCACTCAGACAGGACAGACAGGAAAAGACAGAGCAGGACACGCACACAGGACCTCAGGCGTTGCGGTCGGGGAAACAGGTCCTGGCCATAAGTAGCGAGACATAAATTAACGCAGGATATCGTACGTACGTTCTCAAATGCGGTTCTTGTGCTTCATTTTCAGGTCGCCGAATTTCCTCCTCCTCCTCCTTCTTGATTAAATTTTAAAGACAATTTTCCGAGTGAGCGAGCCCAAGGCAATTATCCTTTTCCATTCGGCAGGATATCGCCGGGTTGAATTTGATACACCAATTGTCATTCATTTTGCGTGTGAGTTTGTGTGAGTGTTTGTGTGTGTTTGTGTGTGTGTTTGTGTTTGTGTGTGTGTGTGTTTGTGTTTCAACTGCAACTGGCAACTTTCGCCTCGAATTCATTTGCAATTAAACGCATAAACATTTTAATTATGCCAAAGCTTTGCCGGGAAACTTTTGCCCAGCCCCGCTCCAAAAACCACTTCTTAGCCAGCCAAGTCTTCCCCTCCCTCCCCTTCCCCCTTAACCCCCTCAAGCCCCCTTTTTCCCATCCCCCCCCTTTTAGTACGGTTCAGCGCTCTTTGTTTGCCAAGTTTTTGGCGCACATGCATAATGAAAACTTTCCACGGCATTGTGAGTGCAAGGCAAAAGTCGACTGAGCAAAAGTCTGGCTATCAATTTGTTTGTTTGGGCTTTTGTTGGCCAAGGGGGAGCTGAAAGGGGGTGGGAGGGGTAAGAGGTAGTAAGAGGTACAGGTGGGCAAACTAAGCCGCAGCAGCTTAGGCAGCAGCTTAATGAATTTACATAACGCACACACAAATCAAAGGCCAAAAAGGAACAGGACTCAAGTTGAAGCCACCGCAGGCGAGGCTAATCAGCTTGGCAAAACTTTTCGGGGGCGAAATTATGCGAGTTTTCAGTTATTAAAAGGCAACCTTAGAAGTCAAATCCTTAGAAAAATACGCAATAAATAAAAATCAAATTCGCCGTTTCGTGTGCGATACCTACGTAAAAAACGTTAAAACGCGCAAAACGTGAACAGGAAATAAATGAGAAACTTTCTTTTGCCCAGCGAGGCATTCATCAATGACAACTTTTGGGGGCGCAAAAAAATAAAAAATAAAAAGGAGGAAAAAATTAGAAGGGAGAGGTAAGGACGAAGGAATCAGGATCAAACTGCTGTTGCCTTCAATTGATGACAATGAGCAGCGAAATTGAATTGAAAATTAATGTTAAAATTAAAATGAAAAATGGTGGAAATGATGGAAGTGCTGGAACTTGGAGCCATGCGTGTTGCCTGTTTGAGTTGACACATTTTCATTAAGACACCCAAATCAATTCAGCAGCTTCACTTCGTAATACAAAAACAAAAAAAAAAAAAAAAAGAAAAAGAAAATCAAAAAGAAGCAAGGAAAGTACTAAATCTTCGATAGTATACTTATGCGGGCAGGCAATTATTTACAAAAGCCAGTGATATATGAAGAGACAAGTCGGTTCCCAATTATTAGCTGACCCCACAACAGACAATTGGCCAACATTCTGGTGTATATATTATATATATATATATATGTACATAGACATATATATATATATATATTTGTTCCAGTCCGATGGACCTTGGCAATAAAATTAAAAGTCGCAACCGCCGAAAAAGGACCTTTTGGGTTGGAGGAACACCGTTTTTCTTGCACTGCCATTTATGTTCATGTGTGCTTCGGTGTTTGTGTGTATGTGTGAGAGTGTGCTTGTGTGTGCCCACTCACACATAGCCGGCTAAAAGTTAAATTTATTGCCCCAACTCTACACCCTTTCTTTTTTTCCCCCTTCCCTTCTTTTCTGGTTGAATATCTCGTGTTTGTCTTGCGCTTTTGTTTTCGCCTCGTTTCTTTCCTTGGGTTTCCTTTCTGTTTTTCCACTCCGGTCCAGATTTTCACCAAAAAAAAAAAGAAAAGAAAAGAAAATAAAAGAAGAAAGAACAGCCCTTCTGCCACTGCATTTATTTCACTTGATTTTCAAACAAAATTTATAAGTTGCGCGTCGCGTCGTTTATTTTGTTTTAATAGCAAAGCAATTTCAAATATAAAGACATTACCCAACGGAACGTGTGTTTGTTTTATGCTTTCGTTTTTTTGTATTTTTTTTTTTTTTTTTTTGGTCGTTGAGTTGCCAAGGCCTAAAAAGCATCCTGCAGTATTTTTGCGCAGGTTAGTTTCGCCTCGCGGGGAAAGTTAAGCGAATGGAATTTCCGTTTCCGTCTTTTTTTGCTTTGGTTTTTATTTTATATTATACTTTTTTTGTTTTGGTTTTGGCAAGGACAAGGAATGTGAATCGAAGAAGGAGAATAGGAATCGCTGAGAACTCTTTCGGAAAGGCGAATTGAAAATATTGATACAAGAGTCCTTAAAATAGATTACAATAATTGAAGAGCACTGAGCACTGAAGGCGAACTTTTCCCTTTCACTGCGAACTTCTCGCCAGCTGCTGACCCCGTGACCTCCTTTGCGGTTCAACAAAGCCCCCCACTCTCCCCCTTTTTCCCCCTTTTCCCTTACTTTCCCTGCTTTCACTACGCCAGTGCTTCAGAAATACAGTTCGCAATTGTTCTGAAAGCCAGGAATCGAATCGAGAATGGAGAATGGAGAGCATAAAGGAGCAAGGACTTTTTCTTTTCAAAAGGGCCAGGATACGTGCGTGTATAGTGTGACCAGCTGTTGTCTTCGCCAGCTTCGATAACAATCACAAATGGCTTGTTACAATAACTACAGGCTGCGGCTCCTGCGAACAGGGAACAGGGAACTTGGAACAGGGACCTTATCAGTTAAGGCAAAGTCAATTTGGGGCCAACACATGTCCCAGTTCGCACGATTCGATATTAATAAACACTTAAGCCGAAGGGAAAGGACAAACGGCGACCGCAATACAATCGGTTTCCCCATACTCCCATTCCCCTACAGTTTCCCCACATTTCCCACATTTCCCCGATAGCCAGGATTTGGCCAGATGACACATGTGACTTAAAATGAATGGCATCGTTTGCGGATGACAGGCGACGACCACGACACGGCTCCTTCGAAGAAGGACACCAGGACATCAGGACATCAGGCAATGGCCGCCCAGATATTGCAGATATTAAATTCACCCTGCCAGACGGTTGCCAAATAATGCGTATTTCATTAGAGTCCAAACAAAAGCGGCGACAAGCACATCCAAAGAGCCAGAGCAAATGGCGTAGTATCCCATATCCCCTGCTGCTCCACTCGATTCGATGGAGAGCAGGACGACACCTACTCTCGAGAAGGTCTATTTTTCACTCAGCCTAATGAGATATTCTTATGGCCCATTCATCTTCATCCATCTGCCCGCTGAAGGGCCTCGGAATCGGTATACTCCTCATACGAATTATGGCAGATAATGTTCGACAATAGTCATCAAATCGAAACGACAACTTTCATAAGCGCAACTATTCGCAATTTCCAGAAATTCTTGCCGAGTTCATCAAGCTGTTGGCACAGCGACAGTCCTAATCGTAATAGCATTTGAGCATTCCTTCTTTTTTTTTCGGGAAACTCACATTACATGACAGGTAAGGAGAGCCACTTGTGCAAAATGACATCTTCTTGGACTTTTGGATACTTGAACCTCTCAGAATCAAATGTCTTTGGGACATCCGAAAGTTCTGGCGTTAAGTTACAGTTCAACTTGAAAAGGCTTTTCCTTACAACATAAAAATAGAATACAATTTTTGACATTGAAAACGTTTTGCTTTTCAGCTGCAAGAAATGGAAGTTGAAATATTTAAAATTAGAGTATATATTATATAAATAATGAATATTTTATCAAAGTTCCCGACTGTAGTTATGAGGTTGTTTCTACCCAATAATTGGTTTACAGAACGTCTTTTCCTTTACTGGAAATTCCCGCTTTTGGTGTTATAAGACTATTAAACTGTCCAAAATTCCCGATAATTGAAAGGGTTTTCCAGGGCCATGTTGGTTTGGTTTAGTTGGCCAAATTAGCTTTTACCCCGTACATTGAAAGGAATTTTATGTACATATGTTAAATTAAAGCGCAGCTCGCGAAAGGAAAGAGCATATCGTCGGCATTGGACTTTCTCCTTTGGGAAAGTCTGGCAATTTGCGAAGGCCATCCAGCCATTGTTTCGCTTTCCGCTTTTCCCCCTGGAAATGGAAAAGCTGATCATGGGGCTGCTGTTGGATAGGAGGAGAAGTAAGCAGGGGTGCTGAAATTAATTATACACGCATGCATAGACAAAGGCTAAGGGGGTTGAAGGGGTGGGCTAAAAGGGGGTTGGTGGGGGAGGACACCTCATAATAATCACTGGTGGCATGTGCTAATACGATAATGGGCGACCAGTTGGCAGATTCCACGTTTTTCCCCCCTTCAGTGCTCCTGATCCTTCCGCCAAACACTTTTTCTGCTACGGTTTTTGCTTTTTCCTCTTTTTCCTATCTGTTTTATTACCTTTTCGCTATTTATTTATTACCACTAAGAGCACATACACACGCACGTATATGTACACACACACACACACACATACACATACACTTATGGCATGTTCCAGATATTCAGCACATCCGGCACGCCCCCTCGTGTGCGCCGCCCCCCTTACTTTGAGGCCCCATAAACAAATATATTAAATTTTAATGCTTAATTTATGTGCAGATTAATTTCGTACATTTTTCGAGGCGCAGATTAGTTTTCGCCGCCCTTCCGCCTTCCCCCCTTCCACCTTTCGCCCCCCTTTGAACGTTAGTTCCGCCCACTTAATAAGTTGGGGCGTGGCAGTTTCTCTTAAACGCTTCTTAAATTCATTTTGTATGTATCTGAGAAAATGCAGTGGGAATATAAAAGAGCAGCCAGAAAATAAAGTTTTATGGGAGAGGTTAGACATTTAAAGTCATTACAATGCTTTAAATTGCATATACGAGTATTTCCTAATTCCTTCCACGAACAATAAAGAATTTACAATAGATAGAAACCGCTGATGCACGTATTTTTCATTTGACAGCCAAAAATAAAATCAATAAATAAAATTCGCGTGGGCATTTAAATCAGTTGCCAATACGATTATGTTTTAGTCCATTTTGAAGGGATTAACTTTTTGTTGCAGCCTAAAATAAAGCGCTAGAATCAAAGCAGAAGAATTTAGCTGAATCATCATCTTTAGAGATATTTTTCGACACAGCAGCACTGTTCAACAGTATTGAAAAACGCACCAAAGGACCATATTTTTTAGTATTGCATAAGCTAGTATTTTTTATATAAAGCTTTGTCACCAAAAAAGAAAACTATGTACATATTTCATAAAAAATTACGTTAAACATAAGACTACGTGATAAAGCACTTTTTATGGACGACACGAAACATGAATTGTTAATTAAATTCCGAAATTTTGCAGGGGTATAACAAAATGCCTAGAAAAACTTGGCATTTTAATTTTTTATACATTTTAATTTTAGTAATATCACAGCAATAGAATATAAATCAAAATCTTTTATTTTCATTCTTTTGTTTTGGCATCGCAGCTACATTTTACTTCTTTTTCTTTTAAATTTGATTAATTTGAGTATATGAGTATTTTTTCTGAGTTTTCCGGCGTTCGAGAACTTCCACCTTAGTTGTCCTCCGCATTGGAATGCTCACCGGATTCGTCATGACCATCGTCGGTATAGGTTCTCTCCCTCGGATCGAAGAGTTCATTATCTGATTCGATTCCATCCAGGATAGCATTTAGCTCAGCCTCAGCTGTCATGTCCTCCGAATTTGAGGACTCCTCGGGGTCACCACCATCCTGGTAATTAGTGGCCTCATCTGCATCTTCGAGAAACGCCTCTACTTCAACCTCAACCAGGCTGCTTGCAGCAAAATAACACATTAAGCGCTCATCCCCTGAATCTGGATAATCGCTGGTATCTTCGGAATCGGTCTTTACCAAATTATTGCGAAATTCGCTATCCGATTCCAATTCATCCAGTACATCAGAGCGCTTAGCCTCCTCATCATCGGAGGAAATCGCAATGGTTTCGATTTCTTGGTTAACTATTTCAACATCAGAAGACGAACTTGATAAATAAAATTCAGAGTCAACAGCTGCAGTAGCACCAGCTTCAGAAACCTCTTCATCATCGGGAGAATCCTCCGGGGTCAACGAATTCTTCAGTTTGGCAATTTCGGCTTCGGTCAAAGGACCGAGATTCATCTCCATATCGGAGACATCCGAATCGCTTATGGGCTTGTCCGAACCAGATTTAGTGACACCCTGGCGATATGGCGTTTCATCGCTGCTGCTGCTGTTGCTGCTCCCGTTGGAATAGCGACGCATCTGAACCTCAAAATCGCCACGGCGAGGTTTCTTGCATTTCTTGGTGGGTGCACTCTTGGGATTATTACGTTTTGTCAATGGCTTATGCTTCGGAGGTTTCTTGGCAATCTGCGGCGGTGAGGGAAACATCTGGCTGGTAAACAGAAACACGTTGCTTGCCACCGAACCCTCCGCTTTCGGTCCAATCACATTAATCTCACTGGAGTCGGACATTTGAAAGCTTATTTCGTGGATTCCCGGATACTGATAGAGCGACAAGTTGCCAATGGCAGCCGCAAGGCGCTTTTCTACGGCGGCAGCTGATTTCTGAATGTATTTGAATTTGCGGCGCACTGATCCTTTACCTCCAATGCGCACTGAATTTTCAATATTTTTGAGCTTCTTAAGGTCCATGGATTGTAAACGCTGAAATCTGCCAATTTACAGCGTTTAAAAAATATTAGAAAAAAAAATATATATCACCTTCTTTTACCTTTTTTTCTCCTGCAAAATTCAGCTGCATAAATAGAACTTGATAGCTCGAATTAGATGCAATAACTTAATGTCAAAAGGAAAATTCGAAAAAAGGTTAGGTTAGCACGAGGAAAAAGCCTACTGTTTTTGATTTTTTCCCGGAAATGAGATTTGCACTAGGGCTACGTAAATTGAAGTGTTTACCAACACCATTTTAGTTTGCGCGCTGCTTGAATAAAGTGGCAACGCCGCCCATTATCGCAGATTCCCTTTTACGGTTTTTAGAACTTAACATACATACATACAAAATATTTAAAGAGTTGCCCTTCTTAAACATGCCTTCGTCTTCAGTGTTACCACCTTCAGAATAGTGTAAATTTTAACAATTTACTTGTATTACGTTGACAAACAAGCAAAAGAACACATTTTGTAGGTGAATATCTGCATTTGTAAGCCAAATGTTGAAATGCCAATGTATACATAATTAAATGAGTATAAAAATAATTTTATAAATTCCAAAGCAAAGTATCCCTTGCATTATTTTTCATAAATAAAAAAAATATTGTGCATTTATAATAAGTAAAAATGTTGTATTATTCAGTGGATTTAATTATGTATGCAAGGAAGCCAGCTAGATGATAATTGCCAAAAAATATGCTTCCCAATGAGTTAACCCAAATTCATTAATTGCGAAAATCCGTTTTGTTCCGTGATAAAAAGGAACGGACAGTGGGGCAAACAAAGTGGCAGACGACCGGAAAAAATACAATTAAAAAGAGGTCAGGCCAAAGTACAAACATAACGAGCGGACGACAGGCGACAAAAGGATGACGGTCGCTCACTCACTCACTCACTCACTCCTCTTCTTCTTCTTCTTGTTATTTTGACCATTTCGGTTCGCTGTTGGGCAGTGTTTTAAGCCAACAAAGTTGCTGCTACTACGGCTACAACGGCTACATTGGCTACATTTGTCCATCATCATCGTCGTCGTCATCGTTCGCCTGATTAAATGGCGAGATTTTTCACTATGGGCCTGGCCAAAACAGAACGGAAACAGGAACAGAAGCAGTCCAGGCCGAATGCCATTGTTGTTGTTTGTGGCCTCGTAAACATTTCAGCGCAATAAACGTAACGTTTATTTGATTTTATTTGTTTTAATGCGGTGGCGGTGGCGGTGGTGTTTTAATGCTGGCGGTTGGCTAGCGACCTCAAGCCAAACTGCTTGTTAACTGGGCTCAGAGCTCCAGCTTCAGCTACAGCTTCAGTTTCAGTTTCAGTTTGAGCTTCAGGTTGGGTTTCGGTTCAGCTCAGCGCTTTTGCCAATTGCCAGTGGCTGTTTGCTTAGCGCAGTGGAATGTTTTTTTTGCAGTCACTGTGCGCTGCCTGCGCCGCGTAAAAAGCTCCCGGCATTTTGGCTGCTGCTCATTTGCCTCTCCATTTGTGTGTGTGTGTGTGTGTAGGTGTGTATGTTGGCGTGTATTTGTGGCAAGGATATGGGGGCGTGAGTGTGTGTGTGTGAGAGAGGTGACTGGACCCCGCCCACTCTTTGGCACAAAAGCCGCACAGTTGTCAATAGAAAAAGAGGAAAACTTTAACTTTGTTGCTGCACTTTCGGCGCCTGGGAAATGGGAAAGTGGAAAAGTGAGGCGGTTGGCAAGAGGAAGAAGGCGGAAGGCGGGGTCCTGCCTTCAGGGCAGCTCAGCAAAAAAGCAACACACACACACATACACAAACACACAAGAAGAGACACAGGAGAATGCGGTCATTGTTACGTTTATAAACAGAGAAAAGAAGGGTGGGGGACGAAATGGGGGAGGGAAGGGGGAAAAGGACGACAAGACAGGGACACACATCCTGACCGCATTACCAACTGCCAAACTGACCAGAAAAAAAAAGGAAAGGTAAAAGGCAAAACGGGGCGTGGCGGGGGTACAGCCTCAGCATTTTGGTTGAAATATTTTCTGCAATGCTGCACATTTAAGCCAAGAGAGAAAAGGAGACGAGAAGCTCACCTGCCTCCCCAAATGCCACGCCCCCCTTAGAAAGGCCAAAAACAACCAACTCAAGCAACCCAGCCCGTCCCGCCCCGCCCCGCCCCCTTCGACTTTTACGAGGCGACTATATTTTTGGTCTTCGAGTTTTTCCAATGCGCTCGAGTAGCATTTCGTTAGATAATTTTGGTTTTTTACTTGTTTTGTGATTTATAACAAGTGCCAGGATGCCAGGCTGCCAGGTTGCCACGTTGCCTGGGTTGCCGGGTTGCCGGGTTGCCTGGGTTGCCAGGTTGCAAGAGGTTGTGAGTGGGGAGGAAAGGTGGCAAGGTGGCAAGGTGGAAATGGAGGTGGCGGTGGGCTATTTCGAAAAAGAACCCTGGCAGTGGCATAATCTACAGTTTGTGTTTTCAATGACTGTCAGCAAGTGCATTTGGAGTTATGTCAGCTGGAAGGGTGGCAGAAAATTTCAAAAACGGTGAAAGCCGGGGGGAAAATGCCAAGCATTGGAGCATTGGAGCATCGGAGCATCGGACCAACGGAGCATTGGAGCTGTGAGCAATGAGCTATGGAGTGCCAACTGGCGATGACTGCATCCTGATTGTGTTGACCACAGTGCCAAAGTGCCCTGGCATCCTGGCACTCGGACATTCGAGCATTCTGGCATCCTGGCATCCTGGGGAGCGGAACTCAATCGCCAGTCACAAATGGTCACAAAAATTGTAGCACCGACAACGGAATTGCAAATCTAAATGCACGGAAGTGTTGATAGGGGCTTTTATTTCAATTTAATTGGTATCTTCCCTGCTTGCATTTCTCGTGCATTTCTCGTGAGAACGGGGAAATGAAATAACAACTCAAATAAAATGTAATACAACATTTCAATCTCTTGGCAATAGTTGCTTTTCTTAGTTGGGGTAAAAAGGTGAAAAAGTGTAACAGAAGTGGGTTTGTTTACAATCTTATATGCGATATCTTTCATCTCGATAGTTATTTTTAGTGTTACCACACTCATAAGAAATTTTAAGCTTGCAACAATATATCGATACCTTTTGATTGTTCTCAGAAACCAGTAAGGAAAACGCTATAGAATCCAATAAGAAAAACGGTATGAATAGAAGCTTAGAATATCTGATTGCAAATTACACCACAGGTTATTTGTGTGTTGTTGCCTGTCCACAACTGAAATGACAAAAAGAAAGGCGGCCATCAACTGTACACATTCTGCACACATGTAGTTATCCCTTTCTCCATATCCTTCACATCCTGTCTCCCTTTCTCTCTATTTCCCTCTCTCTCCCCCCTCTCCATTCCCCTCTTAATTTCCCCTTTTATTTGCTCCACAAAGCAGCAGAGCTGTCAACTGTTTGGCGATAAACAAAGGGCCAAACAAATGAACAATTGTCACCTTCTCTGCCTTTGGCCTTCAACCTTGTCAAGAGAAGAGGATCCTGAGAAGGGCTGAAGGGGGCGAAGGGGGATAAGGGGGAGTGGCATTTGTAATCCGTCATCACCCTTGGCCTTTCGATTACTGCAGATGAGCGGCAAAGCTCATCTTCTCCAGTTGCCTGCCCCAAACTTCACCTGCAAATGCATCAAGTGCACTGCGGAAAAGCCCTCTCCTAAATTAAAAACATCAGGCTAATTCCGGCAATCACTTTAAAGGGCTTAACCTTATCTTCCCCATTTTTCGATTATTATGCTAATTTTAAATGTATTTTTTTATAGCTCAAAGCCAAAGATATTTATGGTCGAATATGATTTTATGTCAATCATTTTTTAATTGAATTCTTTTGCTGTACAGGATGTTTCAAGACTATTTTTTTGTTTTGAACCAATTATTATATAATGTTGTACACACATTTTATTTGAACGAACTTTTATTTAAAATAAAATTTTTAATTTTACAACTCTGGATTTAAAATTCAGAGAAAAGGGGCGAAATGAAGAGAAAATCTGAAAATTAAGGCCGCGCCTTTGTTGATTATTTAATTGTTGATTTTATTCCAGTGTGCTTTTTCAACTCAGTGGCTCATATTGTTGGAACTTCGCCTGCAGGTCGATGGCTTTTGGAATGCTTAAGGAGCTCGGGATGGAGATCCCGGGTTTGGACACGTTAAGTTGATTAATTGCAAATTTAAAGAAAACAAACTGCAAGTCAAGGCAGCCACTGAAGCACGAACACTGAGCGAAATGTCTGGGGGTTTTCCGACCAATCCGGGGAGACGAACCCGAGTTTTCCCTGCCCAAAATGATGGGGGAATTGTGAAATGTGGTGAGGAAAGAAGGAACAGCAGCCGTTGAGGCAGGCAAAATTAAATTAAGCAAATGCTTGGCAAACTGTCTGCCACACACACACACTAACACACGTATGCTGCACACACACACACTATGAAACAAAAGGAGAGTCGCCTGTGTGAGTGAGGGAAATGGATTTTGGGTTTTTCTGAGGCTGAGTGAACGATTTGCTGGCCGTTTTTTCCTGTCACGCGCGCTTTGTTTGCCATTTTGAAAAATGCCCAATGCACACATGCAGAGCGAGTTGGCCAAAAACGTGTGGGAGAAGGATGGCAAGCTGTATGTGTATGTGTGTGTGTGTGTGTGTGTCTGTGTTTGGGGAAAGACTCACGTCCTGCTCATAACTGAAATTCAGGCTTTAAAGCTCAACGATTCCTGGCAAAAGGGCTTACAGAAATGGATAAAACCAGACATTGTCCGACAGGCGATGTGTTGTTGTTTTTGTTGTTGTTGTTGCTGTTGCTGTTGATGTTGCTGCTACTGCTGCTGTTCATATTTACGTCACCAAAATGCTTAACCCGTTTATGCCATTAAAAGGATTTCACAGGCCGCTGGAGCCGAACCCAAATAGGAAATAGGAAAAGGAAGAGCCCCTGTAAAAACCAGCAGCAGGACAATGGACAAGAAAGTGAACTGAAGGGCAGGGAAGAGACTCAGTTTGTTAGAGGACCGGGCAAGGGTTAATGAACGTGCTCGCCCAACGGCAATGTCCAAAAACATTTTACCAGCATACAAAAAGCGCAAAAAAAAAAAAAACAAAAAGAAAACGAAAACGAACGAAGAAAAACACCAATTTTTCTTTGCCAAATTCTTCGTGACACATAAAATCTTCCGAGAAGTTTGAAAGAGACGTGAAAACTAGAAGTAGTC